AGGAGTAGAGTGAGCCAAGCTAGGAGACAGGTCAGAGTGCAGCGGGAGAAGGTGTGAATCTAAGCAACTGGGCTTTGCTGGAGCGCCACCTGCTCAGGGGAGCCCAGAGGTCGCAGAGGTTACCTGCGGGCCAGGGCGGCCGCGTGCAGGACTATGAAGGACACAGGCCAAGACAGGTCACTCAGCTGGGAGGTCACGGGCACAGCCCAGGTCAGAAATGACGAGGGCTTGTCCTGCATGGCATTCCTTATGTTTCAGGGGAGGGGACGATAACTGGTTGTCTGCAGAGCGTGGGCAGAAGGGAATCTGGCTTGTTCGCCAAGCCCCTGTCTGGGTGTCCGGTGGGAGGCGCGATGAGAGAGACAGGAGGGGACAGTTGCTTGGGCACCGGCCACGTGGTGCCGGGAGACCTGGAGACACGTGGGTGGGTGTGTCCTGTGCGAGGCTGGGTATTTGAATGTGATGCTCGAGCACAGGCGTGGGGTTGGAGATGCGATTCAGGACTCAAACCACTCAGCTGTCCCGGGAAAGATGAAACCAACAAATAAGCTGACTGGGGAGACGGCATGGAGAGAGAACGGTAGGGAGGCAAGGAAGCCACCAAAGGGACCAAGGGGGTCGAAGGACCAGGGGGCGTGATGCGTGGGGGCCGGGGAGTGGAGGACACCAGCTGGGATGAGCGACAGCAGCAGCGAAGCCCACCAGGGTAGGAGCTAGAGTGTGGGAGGCCCCTAAGGCCAGATGCGGCCCCCGGGCCCTGTGACGGCCAGACCAGAGCACCAGAGCGCAGGGGAGCACCTTGCTGCAGAGGCCCTGTGGTCCAGGGGCTGGGGTGGGAGAGGCTGGGAGGTTTTCATGTCAGTCCCCCACTTCATATCCCCCAGCCCCGCCTCCTCGGAGGCCAGAGAAGGTCCAGGCACCTTCCCGCTGGGCCTCCTGCAGGCCACCCCTGCCCCCCAGCGCAGGAGTGTTACTCACCCAGCAGCACCTGGGCTGCCCAGAGCACAGGAGGCGAGAAGCAGCCCAGCTTCATGGCGACTGTGTGAAGGTCTCCGCAGCCTCACACCCCCGACTTTCAACATGAAACCTCTCAAATTAGAAAAGAGGAAGCAAGTCTAACTGTCTTGTCTCCTCTTCAACTCTGATTGGCTTCCATCCTTCAGGTGCCAGGTCATCTGTGTGGAGGGCTGTGGGGGAAATGATGGTCCAGGTCCCCGTGGATCTCAGAGAGCTGCCAGAGCATGTGCTGCCTGCCATGTCCCCGCCTCCTGCTCCTGCTGGGGAGCTGGCTGACAGAGACGGAAGCTGCTGACAGCTACAGAACCTGGTGGGCCCTCTGAGAGTTCAGGTGCCATGTTTCTAGAGCCTGGGCTGCGGCAGGTCACGGGAAGAGGGCGGTGACGGCACCATGTCAGACATAGCTGAGTCCTTCCTGGGCTCTGACCACCCAGTTTCTCAAACCTAGTCTCAGGACTCAGCAGCGGAGGCTGTGGCTCTCCGGCTCCAGGAAAAGGGAAGTTTCCAGAGGACTCAGCCCGAGGCCCTGGTCCTGAGGAGACTGGAGACTCCCAAGGAGACCCAGAAAGAGGGCGACATGGAGGGGACAGCACCTCCCAGCTCCAGGGGGCCTCCCAGAGCCACTGTCTCTGCCTCAGGATGTCCCCTTTGAGGCGGGTCCCAGTGGCACAGCCACCCCCCTTCTCACGGGATCACCCCTTCCTCCTGTTCCTGTGCAGAGGGCCCCCGGGACCCAGGTGGGCGAGTGTGGTTGCCCAGAGGTGAGAGGAACCATCAGAAATGCGGAAGGGAAGGCCTGGGCTTGAAGGCAGGGCGGGTAGGGGGGCCTGACACCCCGCCCCCAGCTGTGCAAAACCACAGGGCAGAGCATGCCCCAGAGGGCAGATAGCTCTCAGTCTAAAACCAGCATTTACAGGAAGTCTCCATGTCTGAGAGGCCGTGTTCCTGTGGGCGAGTGTGGGCAGGAGGCAAGGAGATGTGAGCCCGTCCCGAGAGACCACAGGCCCAGGAGAGGAAAGGGGTCTGAGCCAACCTGATGCAAAGCCGAAGCAGGAGGAGTTGAGTCGGACCAACACTCCCCTCACACAGAAAGCACTGAAACTGAATCAGGGACTTAACTATAAATGTAAAACTATAAACCCTTTAGAAAAACACGGGAGACATTGATTGGGATCCAGTGCTAGGCAAAGAGTTCTGAGACTTGGCACCCTATGAATGACCTATTAAAGACGGAGGTTCCCCTGAGTATGTGGAAATCATAAATCGATGGTGGGTTTACTTGACTTAAAGTTATAGAAATGTATGTTATAAGACATTTGATGAGAAGCTTTAAGTAATCTTATTGATATAAACTCCTGTATAATTTAAATATTCTGATGAAATTGTGCTTTCCTCCAAAATAAATTAAGAGAAATAAGGAAGATTTCATTCCAGTATACACAGGAGGACAGTAAAAGATCATCTGGTGAGGAAAATATCTTAGGTGACTTTAAATCTACGAGTATTTCTTGATTTTAAAAAATGCAAAAGTATCAGAAATAAGAAAAGGGATATTAGTCAAGGCTTAACATTATTACAATGTGCAAAATGGAAAGCAAATATAAGAGAAGGCTGATCAGAAAACCAAAGCTAATTTTGTGAAAAGAGCAATAAAATACATCTTTGACACGTCCAGCGAGGATAAAGGGATTAAGAGGCCAAGGTGTCTCTAGCGTTCAACCACGGAGCAGTGTTTTGTTTAAAGTCTACACAGGAGCATTGGGATGTCCACAAATCTTGATCGTGTTGTTGCAGGGAACTGCGTGTGTGTCCGTAACGAGGGGACTGCTGACGAGAAGCCAGACAGTTCCCCTGGGACCCCGCAGAGGACCGGTGTCCGAGGGTCAGGAATGGCTTTGAGAACAAGAGCAGAGCGGGAAAGGGAGCCTCGTGGGCCTTTCTCCTACCCAAGGGGCGCCGTGTTTCCGGGTGACATTCCTCCCACCATCGGTCAGTGGTCAGTGGAGTGTCATATCACCACGTGAGTGTGAAATCTGACTGGGAATAGGAAGTGCATCCCAAAAGCCATGGCAACCACCCAGCAAAGGAAGCTGCCGAGTCCTGGTGGCAGGCGCGGCTTACGGTGATCTGTCTCGGCTTACGGTGATGTGTCTCGGGGTCCCTGGAAAACAAGGCCCCTCCAGGGCGCCCACCAAGCCCCGGGGCTGTCGGGCATAATCCAGCAGCGGGACGGCCTCTCTGCGGCCACAGCCTCTGGTGCCGGCAGCAGGCACAGCAGCAGGAAGCGTCGCAGTCTCTCCGTCCGTCCGTCCGAAGCTCGGCTTGCTGAGAACTGGGTTACGAAGCAAAGTAGTCCTTTATCTGCCGCGGAGGAGGAAGAGGATGGAGACAAGAAGGCGAACTCACCGAAGAAGAGCTCTGCTTTAGGAGGGGTTGGCCCCCAGCTTATCCCGAAAGGGCAGCAGCCCAGGGCGGCTTACACGCCAACCAGTGCAGCCTCGAAAAGGGAGGGTCCTGGCCGGGGCTCAGTTGGTTGGAGCGTCGCCACATACCTGGACTGGGCACAGACCTAGGCAATCTGTGTCCATATGTGTGTATCTCTCTATCTAAAAATCAATAAACACATATCCTTGGGTGAGGATTAAAAAACGTTAACAAAGTAAAGGGAGTGTCGTTTTTTTAAAATATATTTTATTGATTTTTTACAGAGAGGAAGGGAGAAGGACAGAGAGTCAGAAACATCGATGGGAGAGAAACATCGATCAGCTGCCTCCTGCACACCCCCCACCAGGGGCGTGCCCGCAACCCAGGCACATGCCCTTGACCGGAATCGAACCTGGGACCCTTCATTCCACAGGCCGACACTCCATCCACTGAGCCAAACCGGCTAGGGCAAGGGAGTGTTGTTTTATAGTGTTTATTATAAAAGCAACACATGCTCTGTATAGAAACAGAAAGGAAAAGCACCCTGAAACCCCCACTCTAATATATTGGCGTGTGTTGCTCTGTTTCAACATTTCTGAGTCCATGTACACTAATGTAACTTTCCCATGCAAGCTGCAATATAAGCATCTCCCAAGTGGCTACAATCTCTTAATAAAAGCAAGTTTTATTGTCTGCGTGGATGTGGGACAGAGGACGTGTGATGGCGAGAAGTGCTGGGGCTCAGGGCTCAGTGTGGCTGTCATCAGGGGCCACAGCTGTGCTGTCAGTACAGGGAGCCCAGGATCTCTGCGGGTGACCCTGGAAGAGCCCCCCCTCTTCGGAACGGCAGGCAGCCTGCCCGAGGGGGTGCGGCCAGGAGAGAGATGGGCCTGCTTGGCTCTGGCCCCACAGCTACATGTTCTGGTAATCCGAGGGCGCAGCGTCTTCCTCAGGGGCTTCAGGGTGCAGGAGGAGGGAGTAGGTGATTGTGTTCTCCACCTGGAGAAAGCAGGGGTCAATGGGGCCACAGAGAAGCCCCTGGAGGGGGGCAGGCCACGGCTGGGGGCTCACCTCTGCTTTGGCAGCTGTGTCAGTGTCATTGGCGATGTTGGCTGTGGGCGAGAAGCACAGTCAGCAGGCCCTGCTGAGGGGCCCCTGCACGGCTGCCACCCCAGGCCAAAGCCGCCGCCCACGCCCGCCCGCGCCCCCCCCCGCCACGCTGGCGAAGGGAGGCGGGCATTTGTGCGGCGTGGCAAAGCAGGCAGCTTCCGGGGTCTGAGGTGTTGGGACAAACTTCAGGTAGAGAAGACGTCGGCCACTTTGGGCCGGTGAGATGCATCCTTGTTGGGACTTAGAGGGATCTGGTGACACCATGATATACAAGGAAAGAGGGAGAGTGAGGAGGGAGGGAGGGAGGGACCAAGCAGCAGCCAATGCAGTAGGACAGCCAGTCCCTCGTGCCTTTGCCGGGAAAGCACCCTCAGTGTCTGCAGCAGCAGGCAAGGTCTGAGACAACACCGGCAGGTCCTCCCGGGCCTGGTCGAAGCACCCCCCTTTGCCATGCCCCAGACTCCGGAATAGACCCCCAACCAAATGCTCTCTCCAGCCTGGCCACACCTTATGGCAGCCACAACCCCAGGCCTGGCTTCAACATAAATGCCCCGTGAAACACACCTACGCCGTGGAGACGGCCACACGTCGGGTGGCCAGGCGCGGTGCCAGGCTCCTCTCGGCGTCTGGGTCCCCCCACCCCCAGCCTGGCCAGGACGTGGCTGCTCAGAGCTGCTCGGGCTCTCAAATCTGCTGCTCGGCTCTGCGTCACCGCGTCCCCTGAGGGTCCCCGGCCTCTTTGACTGCAGGACTGCTGGCCGGTGCCTTCATGCTCTGGCTGTGCCAGGAACCACGCTGCACCTGGGCAGGGCCAGGCGGCCACTGGCTCAGTGTCAGACCTGGAGGCCGGCTTCCTCGGCGAGGAGACTGAGCCACGGGGGAGGACTTGCCGAGGTTCCTCTGCCCAGTGGGGACAGGGCCCGGGCATCCCCAGGCAGCGGCCTGGACCCGAGCTTGGTCCGTGGAGCCTACGAAGGCCGCTAGAGCCCCAGAACTTTCTCGTGTTCCTCTGGGAGCTGAGCCCAACCACCCAGACGCCATCACTTCACGGAGCAGACTCCTCAACAAACCCAGGTTGTCCCCCAGGCCTCTTCCCTCCCTCCCTCCTAGAACCCAACCCCGATCCTATTCACCTCATCTTACATCTTTTAACCGCTGCCCAGTGCCAGCTCTGCCAAAGCTCCCTCTCATTTCGTGCTCTGGAAATTTCCCAGCGTTCCTAGTCCCGGGAGTCCCGACGCTGGCGAATCCCTACCTCTACCTGGCGCGGCTGTTCCTCTCCTCACGCCCAGTGAGGTCTCTTTAGGCCCAGGAGTTGTCTCAGAGCTGCCAAGCCACCTGAGCCCTGCCCGCCACACACACAAGCCACCTGCTGCTCCAATTCACCTGGCCGCCCAGGCGGGGCAGCAGGAGCCCCAGGCTGCACTCACCTGGTTCCTCGGGTAGGGTCTCTCCCCTTTCCCTGTTCTCAGGGGTTCCTGGGAGGGTTGGGAGGGCACACGGGAGGTTAGTAGATTACAGGGAGGGGTCTGAGTCCTCAGGACCAAGGGTCAGGGTCAGCATTGTGTTAGGACCAACACAGGCCTTCAGCATTCAGAGGCGTCTTCCTCCCTCCCCACCTCCTCCCCAGACTGCAGAAGGCCTGGTCCGGAGAAACCGCCCCCCAGGCTGCACACGGGCGCCTGGACGCTGGGAGGCCACGCACTGCTCTTCCTGGGCTGGCTCTGCCCT